TTTCCACTCACAGGCATTTACACCTCTACCTGCCTGGCCCCCTTTCTCGAGAAGCTAATGCCGGCTGTGTTTTGGGCTCTTCTCTCGTGAGTCATTCTGGAGGGAAGAAGTCATTCTCATGTGCTATTCCCCAAATGAGGGAATGACTCAGGAGAGAAGAGGACCTGCATCCAGGAAATGGAATGCCTTCGTCCCACAAAGAGGAAGTCAAGTTCACATATGTCAGGCATGGGTCTAGGCCCCCAGAGACACTGGGGAAGAAGCGGTCACCGCTCCCAGAGCCCACAAGACAAACCACACGAAGACAGACAAGTAAATGACACAGATACACAGAGTCGGTGAGTGCTGGGTAATGGAAGTCAAGGAATGAACCAACACAGGTTCTATTAAAACAACGGAGATAACAGCCGAATTTGCATTGACTCCTCAATGGCCTTAGTTGACGGAGAGAAAAAAATCCTCCCATCTACGGCCATGCCACTCTGAGTGTGCCCGATCAGATCTCATCTGATCTCAGAAGCTAAGCAAGGTTGGGCCTGGTTAGTACTTGGATGGGAAGAAAAATCCTCCCATGGTCTCCCTGCTGGAACAGATGTGATAAGTTTGACTATGAAATCCAGTTAGGTGAAGTGCACAATAGAGGATTTAAAAGAACTGGCCGGGCGCAGCGGCTCACGTCTGTAGTCCCAGCACTTTGGAAGGCCCAGACAGATGGCTCATCTGAGGACAGGAGTTTGAGGCCAGCCTCACCAACATGGTGAAACCCTGTCTCTACTAAAAATATAAAAATTACCCAGGTGTGGTGGCAGACACCTGCAATCCCAGCTACTCGGGAGGCTTAGGCAAGAGAATCACTTGAACCCAGGAGGCGGAGGTTGCAGTGAGCTGAGATCGTGCCATTGCACTCCAGCCAGGGCAGCTGGGGTGACAAGAGCAAAACTTTGTCTCAAAAAAAAAAAAAAAAAAAAAAGAACAAAGCAATTCAGTTAGGTGACTTCTCCCAGTGCCTATGTTCCCCGCCCCCGCCCCCCTGACTTTTGTAAATTAGTAATTTAGAGCTTACTCCCGGGCTTTACTTCCCAAGCAGCAGGACTCACTAGGAGATGCCTGGCATCAGAAATGTGGCTCTGAATTCTTTTTTTTTTTTTTTCTTTTGAGACAGGGTCTTACTCTGTCACCCAGGCTGGAGTGCAGTGGCATGATCATAGCTCACTGCAGCCTCAATCACCCCAGGCAACTACAGGTGCACAGCATCATGTCTAGCTAATTTTTTTTTTTTGTATTTGTTTATAGAGACAAGGTCTCACCATGTTGCCCAGGCTGATTTTGAACTCCTTGGCTCAAGTGATCCAACCCCCTTGACTTCCCAAAGTGCTAGAATTACAGGCGTGAGCCACTGTGCCCAGCCTCAGGCAAGCTGCTGCTTAACTACTCAGATCATATCCCTGCATCTTCTAATGGGAACGATGACTCACATTGGGGCCCAGACACTCCAGGACAAACACCCCAGGTATCACCAATGCCTCCACCCAATCTGCATTCTCAGGCAGTGACGGGACGGTGGCATTCACTGCACCAAAGCAATTGCCGGTTGCATTCCAGGCTTAAGGACACAGACTTTCTAGAGAAGTCCTAAGCTGGGCCAGGCGCAGTGGCTCACACCTGCAATCCCAATCTTTGGAAGGCCAAGACAGGCAGATCACTTGAGATCAGGAGTTCAAGACCAGCCTGGCCAACATGGTGAAACCCCATCTCTACAAAAAATACAAAAATTAGCCAAGCGTGGTAGCACACACTTGTAATCCCAGCTATTTGGGAGGCTGAGGCAGAAGGATCACTTGAACCCAGGAGGTGGAGGCTGCAGTGAGCCAAGATCGTGGAACTATACTCCAGCCTGAAGCCCTGTCTCAAAAAAAATAATTATAATATAAAATTAAAAAAGAAGTAGAAGAAAAAGAAGAAGAGAAGAGAAGAGAAAAGAAGTCCTATGCTGGATGTGTCGGGGTACAGGCATGGAAAGGGGCTGCCCGTTCTGAAGCTCTCTCTGTAGGACATGGACAGAGCAGGGCAACCCAACACCAGACCTGCCTGACCTGAAAGGCTGGAGGAGGCACGTCGGAAGTTTGACCCCATCCTCCCAACCACCCCATTAAAGTCCTGCAGGGGCTTTCCCGGCCCTGCTCACCTTGGCACCCAGGTTCCCAGGTGTGGCTTCCTTGCCAGCCTGAAGCACAGCACAGCAGCCTCCCCCTCAAACATGCCACTCATTCCTTCTGGTCTTCCCTCAGCTCTTCTCGCCAGCCCTGCCTGCCCACACACTGTCGCTGCTCCCGGGAACGCCCTCCCATCTCAATGGAGGGAGGGCGTTCCCTCCAAGTCTCAGCTAAAAAGCCACTTCCCCTGGATCCCTCCCTGTTGCCCTCGCCTTGCTCCCACGACACATGCACTTCCCATCTCCACGCCCATCCTAGCACCTGCACAGGCTTGCTCCCTCCAGGCGCCTTCCTTGGTGCTGCTCACCTGTCTTGTCCCTGGGCTGCCTCCTGCTCAGTGCCGGGCATCAAGCAGGCACTTCACAAAGATTCAGGGAGTTCAACTGAACGGAGGCACAGAGCAGCATGGTGTGCAGGGAACAACAGGTGACCTCATGGGGGCTGGTTCACATCCTAGTTCTGCCGTGTTGCGGGGACCTCACTTCCTTGTTACACTGCAAGCGTGGGCTGGCCCACCCCCAGGCCTCTCCTACCTCTAATAGTCAAAAGAAGAAGGCAGGGGAAAGGACATCTGTTTGCTTGCTTGACTCTGAGCTAGGATTTTACGGTGAGGCTGGTTGCAGTAGTTGCAGAGTCTACCATTTATCGCTGATGGTCCCCGGGCCCTGTCCTTGGTGCTGGGGACAAAGGACAACAGAGAGGCTCCTGTTCTGAAGGCCCTTAGCCTGAATCCTAACATTCCAAAGCATCCCCCCCCACCTGCTTCTCACTTTCCCTTGAGGCCCCCTCTCCACCCAGGAGGCTCCGGCCAAGTTCACCCAAAGGAGAGAAAAAGCCAGAAAGCAAAATCCGAGGGTCACACCCAGCAATGGCTTTTCAGGCAGGCCTGGGAAGTTCAAGCCAAAGAGACTCCATCTTAGAATCCTCCCTTGCCACCTCCGGAGAGGAAGGTGGCGGAGAAAAGGCCGCACTGTGCCATCTGGGGGGATGTGCGTCTGCGCCCGGAAAAGCCGTTAAATAAACCCATGATGTACATTTTCCAAGCAGTTGTCTGCAGACACTTCACAGCTCCTGGCCCATGGATTCCAGCTCTTGGAGATGAAACCTCAAAAACTGGCAACCCACAAGCCGCATCTGCCCGTGGGTAGGTTTTGTTTGGCAGGCAAGGGTTTAAATTTTTTAAAATGAGTTCCAACATTTAAAAATCATCTGGTTTCACATATGGATCCAAATGTCCAGCTTCTTTAGAAAAACAGGCAGCCCTAGGAAGAATAGAAGAGGTGCCTTGGGAAGAAAGGCCATCAGGGTCCCAGGGCAAGCAAAGATCTAGGAGATTGCCGTTAGTGAGTTGGTGAAGACAGAACCTGAAGCAGGGAAAGTCCAGACAGCCACAGGCCCTAAACCACCAGCCACAGGCCCTAAACCACCAGCCACAGACTGTGCAGGCAGACGGGCTGTCCTCAGTTGGCTCCAGTCCCCACCACTCCCTCCAGCCTCACACCAGGAGCCTCTTTCATTCACAGGACTTACTGGCTCCTGCAGACATTTAGCCAGCAGCCTCTTAGAAAGATACAGGACCAGGCCTCATAAACCCACCCAGGGCACAAGCCTCCTTCCCCATAATCTCATCCACCTCCCTTAGACCCAACAGTTAACATTGGGAATGAAGGCAAAGAGGACACATCTACCCAGGAGAACAGTCAGAGACTTTCTATGCAGGATGCTCGCCAACTATGAGACGCTCAGAATGGTATATTGAATAATCGACAATCCCTCTGATGCATCTTGTGCTTTTACCATCATTACACATCTGCATATTGTTTTACCACGTCCAAAAATGCTAACATGTCAAACTCTGGGGGAAACATCCTCATAACTTATTCATGAAGAAAAAAATGGTATGAGAAATTCTAAATGACATAAGTTGTTATTTTTATTTTAAATATTGGTCCATTTGAACAGCTCCGTTTAAAAATGGATTCACTCATCCTTTTAAAAATGATTAATGGGCTGGGCGCAGTGGCTTACACCTGTAATCTCAGCACTTTGGGAGGCCGAGGTGGGTAAATCACGAGGTCAAGAGATCGAGACCATCCTGGCCAACATGGTAAAACTCTGTCTCTCCTAAAAATACAAAAACAGCTGGGTGTGGTTGTGTGCGCCTATAGTCCCATCTACTCAGGAGGCTGAAGCAGGAGAATCGCTTGAACTCGGGAGGTAGAGGCTGCAGTGAGCTGAGATTGTGCCACTGCACTCAAGCCTGGTGACAGAGCAAGATTCCATCTCAAAAAAAAAAAAAAAAAAAAAAAAAAAAGGGCTGGGCATGGTGGCTGATGTCTGTAATTCCAACACTTTGGGAGGCTGAGGCAGGCAGATGACAGGGCCAAGAGATCAAGACCATCCTGGCCAACATGGTGAAACCCCATCTCTACTAAAAATACAAAAATTAGCTGGGCATAGTGGGGCATGCCTGTAGTCCCAGCTACTCGGGAGGCTGAGGCAGGAGAATCACTTAAACTCAGGAGACAGAGGTTGAAGTGAGCCAAGATTCTGCCACTGCACTCTAGCCTAGTGACAAAGCGAGACTTTGTCTCAAAAAAATAAAAAATAAAAAGATTAATATTTGATCGACACAAGATACTTGATCTGGAGCTTAAATCTTCCCCCAAAACTAATGTGAATCAGGTTTCTTTAGGCAATTTCAGAATCTATTGGAAAGGCAGTTGTAACTTTATAAGGAAATGGAAAAAAAAAGTCAAAAAAGTGATTACAGAGTGGAGGAAATACCTGCTTCTTATCTTGCATTTTCTTAAAATCTTCACACGCTAGCCAAAACAAAACGTTTTCTTCACTGAACTCCTTTTTTAAAAATTCCTGTGGATACAAAGAAAAAGAGTTACACAGTATCCCACATTTTTAAAAAATGAAACAAATGGCATTTCCCTTCAAAGACTGATACGGCAAAATTCAACAGAGGAACATGGTTCAGTTACCCTCGGAAAACTCCACTCTCAAAAACAAATGCGTATGTTTAATGTTAAAGCTAGAATTTCATGTGCATTTGACTTTAATGGTTTGAAATTGTAACGAAGAGTACAGATGAAGCAGGAATCTACTCATATTTCTAAGCTGACAATAAATTACCAAAAAGTAAATTAAAGTGGAAGATATATTAGTTCCTTCCAGACAGTGTTTAAACAAAGTACATTCCTCTAAAATCAGGCTCTTTTTTTTTTAAACAAAAGAAAAGAAAACACATGAAGCGTGTCTAAAGCACCATGATAAAAACTATTTTAAGTTGGAGGTATGTGTGTTTTCTTTTGGCAGATCTTGGGCAGTCCGTGGCACAGTCAGCTACTCTGCTGAGCAGAGACCTCCTGGGTTGCAAACACTGCTCACAGTAGCCTGGTGACCAGGAACTAGAAACCAAGTACCACCTGCCACTCCCCTCCTGGGAGCCCCAACAGAGACCAGCTGCATGAGAACTCATCCTATTCCTGACCCAAGACTTAAAGACAGAAGTGATCGGAACTCATTCTCAAAATTCACATGTGGTCCTCCAACTGGCAACAGGGGCTTCTGCTAGTTGGAAAAGTTCTTTCTTTCTTTCTTTCTGTCTGTCTTTCTTTCTTTCCTTCCTTCCTTCTTTCTTTCTTTCTTTTTCTTTCTTTCCTTTCTTCCTTCCTTCCTTTCTCCTTCCTTCCTTCTTTCTCTCTTTCTCTCTTTCTTTCTTTCTTCTTTTTTCCTTTTTGAGACAGAGTCTTGCTCTGTCACCCAGGCTGGAATGCAGTGGTGCGATCTCGACTCACTGCAACCTCTGCCTCCTGGGTTCAAGTGATTCCTGCCTCAGCCTCCTGAGTAGCTGGGACTACAGGCGCCCACCATCATACCTGGCTAATTTTTGTATTTTAGTAGAGACAGGTTTCATCATATTGGTAGGCTGGTCTTGAACTCCTGACCTTGTGATCTGCCTGTCTCAGTCTCCCAATGTGCTGGGATTACAGGAGTGTGCCACCATGCCCGGCCGGGGAAAACTTATTTCTAAGTGGCACTGACAGTTCCCCATCCATCAGCCCTGCTCTCAGAGGTCCCTTCACCAAGTTCACATTGGCAGCCTCTCTCACTCTGTCAACAATGCATTCTGAGAATCCCCCAAGCACGAGAGAACAAGCCTTCACATCAGAGATACCCAGAACTGGGAATTCCTCATACAGACTCCACCAATGGGCATGTATCTTCTCCCCACACCCTGCTTCCCCTCCCACCTCACTACACAAAAACCAGACACAGGCTGCTCATGCCCCTCAGTGTCTGTCCAGGATTATCTGTGACAGTGTTGCCAACATGGTCATGACAGATGACAAAGTCTCACCCTCAAGCTGGGATAGACAGTACTGATCTCTCGAGCTGGCACAGAGAGTGCTAAGCTGATAGACAATGCTGAACTGCCTATTTCTCCCCTGCATGCATCTAAACTTCCACACATACTGCATCCATCCCGATTAACAATGAAAGAGACAAACCCTAAATCTTTTCACGCCTTCTGGGTCCTCCAGGAGATTCTCCAGGGATGCTGCCCATTTGGCTGTGCTCTTGAGGCTCTGGTGGCTGCTGCTGGAACTGCCATCGCTGTCGTGGATGTCTGCAAAGCAAATCTCAGACTGCATATGTGGCCAAAAGAACACTGTCATTTTAAGAAATCTGCATGCAATAGCCAGCACTGTGATTGCCATCACAGCTGACATACGCCAAGTTATGTGCCAGGCTCTGTTCTAGGTGCTTAATGTGATAGACTCATTCTTGTCACACCACCCTGTAAGGCAGGCACTACTATTTCCTCCATTTTATAGTTGGGGTAAACTGAGGCTCGAGGTGAAGGGACCTGCCGTTTCCAACCAAATCCTTCCCCTACTCTTGTGTCCACTGACCAGTTTGGAGACAGCCCTCAAGTCTCACTCAAATCCTCCTCCCAGAGAACCTTGACTCAACAGCAACTGCTGCCCCATGGCACTTTGTGCACAGCCGTACAATTGTGGTGCTGTGCTGTGACAATTGATATGACTGACTCCCACTAGTCTGAAGCCTCTTGTATGTCCTCATCTTATATCTCCAGCAGGTGCTGTTGAGTTTGACACAGAGATTTAAAAACTCATTGCAGGATAGGATTCAGGAGATGGTGCAGAATGTCAGAGGGTTGCCAGAATATCCAGGCATCAAGATAAATGATCATTTCAGGCAACATTTTTTTTTTAAAAAAATCAAGATTTATGCTAAAAAATCCATGATGAAAACAATGTCCAATTTTTTTTTTTTTTTTTTTTTTTTTTTTGGACAGAGTCTCCTTTTATCCCTCAGGCTGAAATGCAGTGGTATGATCTGGGCCCACTGCAACTTCCGCCTCCCAGGTTCAAGCAATTCTACTGCCCCAGCCTCCTAAGTAGCTGGGATTACAGTCATGCGCCACCACACCCAGCTAATTTTTGTATTTTTAGAAGAGACGAGATTTCACGGTGTTGATCAGGCTGGTCTTGAATTCCTGACCTCATGATCTGCCTGCCTCGGCCTCCCAAAGTGCTGGGATTACAGGCGTGAGCCACTGCACCAGGCTAAAATACCCAAATTTTAAATAAAGACAGAATTGGTTATACTGATTTTTCCTTTTGCTTCAGGCTCCAATATGGCTTAGCATCACTGTTACTTTGCCTGACTTTATTTAAACTTCAGATATTTTGTTCAACATGGATGTTTTTGCATTAATTTTGATCTTTTAAAACACTGCACTGGCTGGACATGGTGGTTAATGCCCATAATCCCAGCACTTTGGGAGGCTGAGGTGGTCAGATCACTAGATCAGGAGTTCGAGATCAGCTTGGCCAACATGGTGACATCCCATCTCTACTAAAAATACAAAAATTAGCCGGGCATGGTGGTGGGCACCTGTAATCCCAGGTATTCACGAGGCTGAGGCAGGAGAATTGCTTGAACCTGGGAGGCAGAGGTTGCAGTGAGCAGTGATTGTGCCACTGCACTCCAGTCTGGGCAACAGAGCAAGACTCCATCTCGGAAAACAAACAAACAAACAAAACACTGCGTTAAATATAATTTATAGGCTGGGTGCAGTGGCTCACACCTGTAATCCTAGCACTTTGGGAGGCTGAGGCAGGTGGATACCTGAAGTCAGGAGTTTGCGAGACCAGCCTGGCTGACATGGTAAAACCTTATCTCTACTAAAAATACAAAAATTAGTTAGGTGTGGTGGTGTGTACCTGTAGTCCCGACTACTTGGGAGGCTGAGGCAGAAGAATCACTTGAACCTGGGAGGCAGAGGTTGCAGTGAGCTGAGATCATGCCACTGCATTCCAGCCTGGTGACACAGTGAGACTCCATCCCCGCCAAAGAAAAAAAAAATCAGCAAAGTGAATCACTTTTAAATTACACTTTTTAAAAATTGAGTCTCATAATTATTAATTGCTGCAAATAGCTAGGGGGCCACACAGCTAAAAATGTTTTTGGAGAAAATCTCTATCAGAGCACACTGGACTGACTTAATATTAACAGCTCCTATGATCTCTGATGTTCTATGAGGGATCAAAATACATGTTGATTTCTTGATCCCCTGGGACTCAGAATCCAAGCACCTGGGGACACTACCTAGATTTCAGACATTCACTGGCTGACATGGGCTAAGTAAAGTAGAACCAGGCCAGTTGGACACAGTGGCTCACGCCTGTAATTCAAACATTTAGGGAGGCTGAGGTAGGAGGATGGCTTGATCTCAGGAGTTCAAGACCAGCCCCTGGGCAACATACTGGGATCCCATCTCTATAAAATATTTTAAAACTAGGCTGGGCTCGGTGGTTCACACCCATAACCCTAGCACTTTGGGAGGCCCAGGTGAGTCGGTCACTTGAACAGGTATTTGAGACCAGCCTGCCAAACACAGTGAAATACTGTGTGTACAAAAAATACGAAACTTAGCTGAGCATAGGGGCAGGCACCTTTAGTCCCAGCTCTTTGACAGACTGAGGTGGAAGGATAGCTTGAGCACAGGAGGTCAAGGCTGCAGTGATCCATGACTGTGCCACTGTATTCCAGCCTGGATGACAGAGCAAGATCCTGTCTCAATCAATCAATCATCAATAAATCAGAAACCCAGAAACCCAGCAGGGACTGTGCTTCGATGCTCATTGGTGATGGAGTACGTAAGAGATTTATTTGGGACAAATCCTTTCCTCTAACCATGAAGCAAACTCACTTAAACACATCACCAAATGGAGTTGATGCTTTTCTAAAGTGACTCTTCAGTTCATGGATATTAAATTAGTTCCCTGTTCTCTTTGTAAATGCTGCAGTGGCAAGCTCCCGAACACTGAGTTTCTTTCCAACAAAGTATAAATTCAATTAAAAGATCATTATTACAAGAAATTTCTGCAGCAGGGTTCATTCTGGCAAGCATTCCACTAATTTACTATTCTGCTCTTTGCCCAGAGAATACAGTTTGACAGTTTACTCCATTTCCCCAGCAGATTTTCTCTTAAGTAAATAAATACAGAGACACAAGTTCACTGTTCCAGGAACAATCTAGGCAGCTGCAAATTTCTCTTGCCATGGCAGAACCACTTTGGCCATAAGTTTTCAGCCTTGGTCTGAAAGGATTCCAAAACGCTTGATATTCTTTTCCATAATAAACCAGACCATGGTTGGGTTTTCACCACCATGCTGTCTTGCAAATAAATACACACATTAGATTACCATTTAGGCAACAGAGTGTCTGAGAGTTAAAACAGTTAGCCTCACTGACAGACAATCGCTAACCCCCCACCCTTTATTTATACTCTAATTATTTTTGTATATTAGGTTTATATGTCTGTTTTCATTTGAACAAAAAGTTTTATAACTGGAAACACACCAATGTGGTCCAGCCCCACCTCCCCCACGACCTTACTTTATAGACTGGGAAGCAAGAATCCAGAAGATAAAATGACCTATCCAGATGATGCAGCTAATGAATCACTGGATGGAAGCAATACTGGGACCTATGTGGGAGGTCAACTGTCCTCACCAGGGCCCCGTCTACAGCATCCCAGCGCTCCTGGGAACACAGAAAACGAGTGAGCACTTCCATTCCATCGTCTCCTGGGCTGTCATCTCCTTTGCATCACATGTCATGAAATACATTTACAACCAACACTATTACAGTAGAGCATGGAATTTTCAGGGATGGCTCAGAAAGTACACCAAGATGGGACTGTTCTTTATAGCCATGGGTATTGGTTTTCTGGCTTTGGTGCCCTAGATAAAGAGAAATTCCTTCTTGCCTTGTTGCCCACCTTCTGTCCCCATAAGTGGCATGTAAGATCCTTCTATCCGAGATACCTACTCTTTATCTGTCATAAGTTTTCATTTTCTCCAGAAATGGTGTGAATTTTTCTAAGACTTCCTGATTGTCTTTCAAGTTTGATTAAGGCTTTTGGCTACGGCACCCCACCCTTTTAAAATCCATCTTGATTGACATCAGTATAGACAGATCTTGATGAGACAGCATTTGCAAACTCTACTCACTGGGTAATATCTCTCTTTTCCAAGTCACTGTCCCCAGCATCCAATGTTACTGAGCAGACAGGGATAGCGCTTAGACTGAGGGTACTTCCGCTACTCAGGGTGCCCTGCTCAGGGGACACACTAAGTTATGAATTCCTAAGCCATCTCAGTTCACTTTAAATGTTGCAACCCACTGGGCATGGTGGCTCATGCCTGTATTTCCAGCACTTTGGGAGGCCAAAGTGGGCAGATTGCTTGAGCTCAGGAGTTCAACACCAGCCTGGGCAACATGGCGAAATCCCGTCTCCACAAAAAATACAAAAATTAGGCTGGGCGCAGTGGCTCAAGCCTGTAATCCCAGCACCTTGGGAGGCCGAGGCGGGTGGATCATGAGGTCAAGAGATCGAGACCATCCTGGTCAACATGGTGAAACACCATCTCTACTAAAAATACAAAAAATTAGCTGGGCATGGTGGCACGTGCCTGTAACCCCAGCTGCTCAGGAGGCTGAGGCAGGAGAATTGCCTGAACCCAGGAGGCGGAGGTTGCGGTGAGCCGAGATCGTGCCATTGCACTCCAGCCAGGGTAAAAAGAGCGAAACTCCGTCTCAAAAAAAAAATACAAAAATTAGGCTGGGCATGGTGGCTCATGCTTGTAATCCCAGCACTTTGGGAGGCCTAGGCAGGCAGATCAAAAGGTCAGGAGTTCAAGACCAGCCTGGCCAACATGGTGAAACTCTGTCTCTATTAAAAATACAAAAAAAAATAGGGCATGATTTTTTATATTTTTAATAGAGATGGAGTTAGTGCATGCCAGCTACTCGGGAGGCTAAGGCAGGAGAATTGCTTGAACCCAGGAGGTGGAGGATTCAGTGAGCCGAGATCATGCCATTGTACTCCAGCCTGGGTGACAGAGCAAGACTCCATCTCAAAAAGCAAACAAACAACAACAACAAAAGCCACGCATGGTGGTATGGGCCTGCAGTCCCAGCTACTCAGGAGGCTGAGGTGGGAGGATCACTGGAGCCCAGGAAGCAGAAACTACAGTGAGCCAATATTGCGCCACTATGCTCCAGCCTGGGTGACAGAGCCAGACCCTGTC